AATGCTCATAACAGCGCCAAAGAAAACACAACTGAAATGTCCATCAACAGACAAATAGATAAACTAATAAATCAATAAAATACAGTTATTATAGGAATGTAAATCAAAGAGCCACGACTATATACATCAAGATAGAAAGAACTCACAAATATTACATGGAACAGAATAAGTCAGAGAGAAAAGAATATAAATAGTATGATTAGCATGATTTCATTTATTTGCAAGCAAAACAAAATTGTGTTTTGTTTCGGGATATATACTTAAATGATAACACTATAAAGCAAAGCAAGGAAATGAATTCCACAGGTCAGGATGATAGTTACCTGTAGGTATTAGGGGCATAGTAACCTCAGCTACAATAGAGATGAAGTAACACAGGGAGCTTCTGAGGTACTGACAATATTCTATTTCTTAATCTGGGTAGTGGTTACATGTTTATTTACTTTATCCTTTCAAATGGTTTATACTCTCATGCTTTTTTTCTATATGAATATATCCATCTTTCCCTCAGACCAAAAAAAGCACCGTCTCTTCTGAGAATGGCATGTAAAAAGTCTCTTTTCTAAAAACAAGAGGGATACTAGACATGATGGCAAAAATAAGAAACTATGTTCCTTTAAAAAAGTCCCCACCCCCCTTTTTAAGAGACACTACATATCCCAAACCAAGAGGAAGACTAAACACATCTTCTATTAACTGGTCATGAACAATGTTTTCCACTGTGAGAGGGCTATTCCCCTCTACTCATGACAACAATAAATACCCAGACAGCCTTGATGTGCCCAAATCATATCCTTCTGCCAGCTTATTACCTGTAGCCTCCCCCTTCTAGTCTCAAATCAGATTCACAGATAACTTTCCTCATCAAAGAACAGTAGACTGCTCAGATAGGGCAGGGGGGTGGAAGGGGTTCTTTGTATTGTCAAGATGTCCAGAGAAGTTTTTATGTCTTCTGATACAGAAGGCTGGACACTTGAGACCTGCATGTAATTTATTAGCTGTGCAACCTTGCTTAACTTGCTTAATCTTTCTGATATTTCTCATCTATGGCACAGGACACAAATATTAATAGTTGCCCAGCCTGTCTCATGAGAATCAAATGAAAACACTTATGTAGTAACTATAAAGTGTCATCATGTATTATCACAGAGTTGTTGCTGTTACTGTCATTATTGGTCATGTCCTCTGAAAACTACAATTCTTCCCCAGATCAATATTTAGTTGGTTAGGGTCCAAACTGCAACCCCACTCCCCCCACCGTCCTGCAAGAACATACCTTGTGAATTCAACACACAGAATGTATCTAGCCTGACCACCATCCCCTCACCCCCAAGCTATACGTTTAGAATTTTACTCCTCGGGAAAAGCTTGAAAAGAGCTCAGGAAAGGTAGCTGAAATTCCCACTTCCAAAATTCCCCCAAATAACATTTATCCTTCAGAATCTATCTATCCTGGGCACCTCCCTCCAAAAACCGAATTGAGAAGCTGTAAAATAGCAACAGAAATGAAATATACATCTCACATTAACCACTAAGCAACAATGGGCTACTAAAACACATTGTACCTTGGGGCAAAAACAAAGACCATTATTCAACCAACATGATAGGAGGCTGAATTTTGTTGATATGACAATATTCTCATTTCTTTAGCTTTTCCTAACTGCTTCTCCTTCCCAGCCTAAAGTAACAAGATTCATTCTGGAAACAACAAGGACCCTAGAGCCCAGAGATGGAAAGAGGTAGGTTCCTTGATGAATTCACTTCTTTAATTTCTGTTTCTTCTTTTCCAGGGAACTACATGTAGATCCAAAGGCAAAGATTGCCAAGGGAGGTCTGCACTAAGCAGCCTGTTGATAGTTATATCTTCCCCACAGGAACAGAGGGCAAAGCTTAAGGATGCATCCTCCACTGGCCTGTCTTCCAAAGCCTAACCTATTCTGACCTTTGAAACTACTCACAAATTGCCTTGGCCAGACTGGCTCTCTGTTAATTTACTCTAAATTGAAGAGTCCTAAAGATGAAGGTAAGATAGCACTGATCACCTGTTGAAGTTTACCCATGGATCCTTATGGAGAAAAAGTCCAAGGGCTTCTACTACCAGAGATATAGAAGAGGAAATGAGAGGGACAGAATACACAGCCAAACTCAGGCCTAACCCTTTATGAAAGGTGGATTTCCTGTACAACTGTTCTGACAAGAGGAGGATTACGTACTTCATACACTTTGTAAGAGACTCAGACAGAAGAGAATCACCACAAGGAAGCAAATTGCTTTTCTGAAGATCTCTAAGACTGTTATATGCTAGAAGACAAAAAAATTTTGGTTGTAAACTGAACTCAACTACAATCAACTCCCATCACAACAATGGCATGAAACATCCCACAGCTTTATGTTAAAGCTCCATTAGTCCTATATAGATAGAGTTCTCTATCCCTTGGGAGACCCACATGTGGCACTCCCTGTGATTCAGGATTACCAACACCATAAAAGCAAGCATAAATTATAATGGAAAGAATGCCAGTTTGGCTTTGCCTCAATCCCAGTCCCCAAATGTTCCCTAAAACCAGGCAACACCAATAGCACAGGCAAGAAGTGTCTCTTGGGTGCCCTCTTGCTGCTACCAGGGTTCTTCTGCAAAGCTGAAATGGAGGTATACTCTGTGAAACTGGTAGAGGAGGAAAAAGAGCAAAAAAAGGAGGGGGTAAGGGCACAGAAAAGGGAAGTTATTCCAGTGTTGGCCAATGAGTAAAGTCCAGTGATTTATAGAAGGTATAATCCAATAATACAGTAAAATAAAACAGTGTGTGCCTGAGATGGTTTTGATTCCAAGAATTATAAAACATATTTTTTAAAAAGAGAGAACAAGAGGGGGAGAGAAAATGGAAAAGGAAGGGGAAAAAAGGCCAGATTGAAACAAATTGGGCACAGATGGGGGATGTAATGGGGTTTCAGTGATGCCCTACCACAAATGTTGCTTCAATTTTTCCTCTTCAAGAAACTAGAGTTTTATTTCCTGAAATTACAGAATTTTTTAAAAATTAAAATTCTTGGAGTGCTTGTGGTTTAGATAAACAGTAAAGTCTCCAACATCACGTCAACCAATCGGATGACTACTAAAGTGTTAAATACTGGGGCATGTGGAGAAAGCCCTTTCTCCTTTCAGACTCAGGAATGCCTTAAGGAGATTACATTACCAATTATGACATCACTCTGGGAACCACCTATCTCACTACCAGCTTTGGATATGGGCCAGGTAAGGAACACACTGCTCAATAAGAGCTGGCTTTTCCAGAACTGTGGACTTCCTCACCCATGCACTCAACAAATATTTACTGAGCGCTTAATAAATACCAGGCACTATGCCAAGGTTCCCAAACATCCCTTATCCCATCCCTCAAAATTACCTATCTCCAACTACTTCAGTGTGGAGTATTAGGATTCTGGACTCTGAAGTAGGATTTTGCGAGGCCCATATGAGAGGAGATAAAGGTCTCCCCACCAATAACCCTGAATCCACAAGTTTTAAGATCACTCCTGAGACCTGCAAGTTTAGTTGGCTAAGTAATGTGGCGTAACTCAATTTATTTCCCCCTATGCAAAAGGGGGGCAAATCTGACTTCACAACTTCTGCCCTCATGGGCAGGGTTGGCTCCAGGGAAAACTATAACCTAGGAAAAGGGGAAAGACGCAATTCTCTTACTACCATCTAAGCAAGCTCTTTCATCCATTTTGCTTTCTGCAGTATCCAAAGCTTTTGAAAGTAATCACACGAAAATGTTAGGAACTAAAATGATTTCTCTGGACGATTGACATTGTGAAAAGAGGATAGTTATAAAAGGGTAGCACTGAACACACAAAAAAGAATGATTCACAATAGCATTAAGGAAATCAGCAAAGGATATACTTTTTAAGTAAGGATTTCCCTGCTGCTCGCCAAATCATACTCTTTAGGTACCACATCTACGAGGAAGGCTCAGGCACAGATGGAGAGGATCTAGATTGCCTCGTGGACCACAGGATCACCTCTGCATCAGACTGGACTGCTTCTTCTCCACAGAGTCCAGGAACTGACATATGCAAACACCCACCCACAAGGACATGTCCAAGAAGGAATGGAAAGAAAAATGATGGCCCAGATGTTCTGTAACTTGCAGTGACTGCCAAATCACCACAGAGACCAAGCACCTGGGAGGGCCAGGCAGCATTAGGCTCTTGCTTCCTGGTTTCAGGCAGCCAGGGACCCCAGGCTGGGTGGTGACTCTGAGAGCATGCAGACTAGACTAAAGAGAAACGTTTGCAAGGGCACTGGCTGATAGGGCTTGGGGGTTGAACATGCAGGGTTGATTTATCACTTCCTTACTCATAAAAATGTGATTCAAACTGCTGCTGATTAGTGAAGGATTTAAATCTTTACCCTCTCCCCACCCCCCATCTTTCTCCACCCCCGGCACAGATGCTGCTTCTCAGTCACAACACCCCCCTTCTTGCCACTGTCCGTGCAAGCAGAGCATAGGGCCCAAAGAAGATGACTCATGTGCTGGGAAATGGAAAAGTGCATCTTCCCACCAACCAGCCCTGCTGAGTGCTCTGCTCACTCCTCTCCCAATGGCAGCCCACACAGTGGGGTCTGGATAGCCGCCTCAGCTGCACACCGGGTACTTGGCAGTATGTCCACAGAGCTCTCTGTCCTAGCTGAGTGTTAAATCCTGTGGCCTGGGCTGTTTTTCCCTGAAACACCCTTGGATCCACTGACTACTTCAGCTCATATTCTCCTTAGCCCCAACTTTTTCATGAAGTAAGAGTCAGGACAAGGTCAGTAATGACAACTAGGGTCTCAAGTACAGGCTTTTACATATCTTTCCTGGCTAGAGGGGTCCTCATTATGACCAACCATGGAAAAGAGTCCTAGAAAAAGTACCATGGCCTCAAGTGGAGGAACAACCTATTTCTTTCTCTGTACACACCATCTCACCTTCCTCTCACCCATATTTTCTTTTTTCTTTTCTTTTTTTTTTTTTTTTTTGGAATGAGCAAATACTTTTATTTCATTTTGAGAAGTGGGCAGCAGGTGTCCAGCCTCAGAACTTCTGGAACTGCTTCTTGGTGCTAGTGACCTTGAGCACGTTGAAGTGTACTGTCTTGCTCAGAGGCCGACACTCGCCCACTGTGACAATGTCACTGACCTGGACACCCCTGAAGCAGGGGGACAGGTACATAGGCATGTTCTTGTGGCGCTTCTCGAAGCAACTGTACTTGCGGATATAGTGGAGATAATCCTGGCAGATGACAATGGTCCTCTGCATCTTTATCTTGGTCACCACACCAGACAGGATCCACCCTCGGATGGAAACATTACCCATGAATGGGCATTTCTTGTCAATGTAGGTGCCCTCGATGGCTTCTTTGGGCATCTTGAAGCCAAGCCCAACATTCTTGTAGTACCGAGGGAGCTTCTCCTTGCCAGTCTTGTCTAGTAGGATACTCTTCTTGTTCTGGAAGATGGTCAGCTACTTCTAGTAGGCACATTCAGTCTGAATGTCTGCCATCTTCCCGGCTGCCTAAAAAAAAAAAGAGAGAGCGGCGGCGGCGCCCAGGCTTCCTTATCCACGGCGCAGGGTCTGGAAAGGTATTCTTTTTTTTTGAGTTGGAGTCTCACTCTGTCACCTAGATTAGAGTGCAGTGGCCGCTCCCGGCCACCGCAGCCTTGACCTGCTGGGCTCCGGCGATCCTTCTGCCTCAGCCTTCCAAGTAGCTGGAACTACAGGCACGCACTACCACACCTGGCTAATTTTTTGATTTGTTGTAGAGATGAGGTCTCACCAAGTTGCCCAGGCGGTCTCGAACCTGCAGGCTCAGGTAATTCACTCACCTCAGCCTCCCAAGTCGCGGGATTACAGCTGAGCCACCGAGCCTGGTTTGGTATTCTTTTTAATAGAGCAGAAGCTGCCGAAAATAGATGCTTCACAGGCAAGAGATGCAGGTCCCTTACATTCGTACCTACAGAAGCCACAGGTCATTTGATGCTGGAACAATACCTTGGCAGATGCTGCAACTCTGTGACAGACAGCTCACTGAATTCTGTGGGTTGTTTTTAGTGGGAGGTAGGAAAATGAAAAGGAGGGTACCTCAGGAAGTCCCATTTCCCAAGTCCAGTGAGCATCCTACTTGGCAGAAGAGTGTTCCTCCCCTTTGGACTGCACAGCCTCACCAGCATGGCATTTTACAAACTTTACTTCCTCCTTCCCAGAAACCAGTGCTGCCTCTCAGGACTCCATGCTTCCTCAGAGCTATCTAACCAAATAGCCATCTCAGGAATGACTAGCCAAATTCAAAAAAGCACCTAAGCCTCTGCATCTCACTTTCTGCTGGAAATTTTAAATGCTGTAGCAGGCAGCTTTAGAGGAAGAAATTCTCTAGAATTCAGATGTGATTGAAAACCCAGGCAGACTAGAAGAGGACCTTGCAGAGTCCCAGGAGGAGCCACATTTTAAGGGAAAGTGTGGCATACTCACTCATCAGGGAAGAAACTCCCTCACCACCGGCAAGCTGAAACATAACCCCAAGTACAAATGGGAAGGGAAAGAAATCAACCTCAGGGTGAGACAAAGCACTAAGAAAGGTGCTACAACAGGACCAGTGACTGTCCAGAAACAACAGATTTGTTTTACAGCAGAGTTTCTATGGGACAATTCCCACTTCCTGGCATTTCAGATAATAACCTTCTTGCCCCGAGACCAAACACTCTCTGTCAATGCTCTAAAATGATTCTTTGGCAAAATGGACCAAATCTCTCTTGCAAACAAACACAGAAAATAATGTTGCCCCCGTGCTACATATTTCCACCAAGTCAAATCACATCATCCTTACCTATGTAAAGTGGAAGGAAGGGAAGGGGACTTTGGTAATATTTTTTGACTCTGACCTGGTCATCAGAACATTTAAAATGTCAATCTGCTGTCAATCTGCTCTTCCCTTTCCACTTCCCCACCCCCCTCACCCTCTGCCAAAAAACTCCAAAGAGTGTTCAGAAAAACATTTCAGAATGCATACCAGTATACTAGCCAAATTCTGGGCCTGGTGGTTTTTGTGCTTCCAGATTTGAGTCACCAAAGCTCATCAATTCTCTGTTCTTACTCCCTGGCAGGCTCCCACAAGGGATATCCCATAGGGAACTAGACTTTTCCATATTGAACAAACAGGGTACATGAGTCCAGAAACAGCTATTCCCAATCCTTGCCAAGCGTATGGTCTCTGCGATGAAACATTTCAGCAATGCCTCTCCCTTGGGAGAGGCTCTGGGTCTGCAGCCTCCAAGAGGCCTTGCTGCTGCCTTTAGCATGGCCAGATGTGCAATAGCATCTCTGTGTTTGCAAATTAAGCTCTATACCCACGATTCCCTCCTTCCATCCCACCTAAGCACTAGAGAGGCACACAGATTTCAGAGAGTAAACTAAATAGCTGAGACAATGGTGGGAGGGTAGTGTGTACATGTGCATGTGCATGTGCGTGTGCGTGTGTGTGTGTGTGTGTGTGTGTGTGTGGTAGGGAGTAGTGGTATGGTAGCACATAAAAGATGCTAAATTAATCTGTCTAGATGAATAAATTGGATGTTCCTTACCTTTCAGCTGGGAATTGTGTACAGCAAACATGTTGATGGTCATAAGCTGCAGCATGCGGGTACTTCCAATAGGAGAGGGGCTATGCTGCAGCAACACCTGGAACTCCTTGAGGACCTTCTCAGCCACTGCAGAGAATGTCTCCATCCTGCAGACACAGTGAGCCCATCAGTGAGGTACATCCCCAAGAGCACTTGGTACACACAAACACAAACATACATTCTCTCTTTCTCTCACAAAGCAGACAACTAAGGCCTATGATATTTCTTTGCTACTTTCACAAACCTTCCAGGTATCCTGTGATTTTGAACAAAGTCAAGAGAAAGGAGTTTTCAGGGTTCAGAGATGGAAACAACTCAATTCTTGGGATAAATCATTATGAGTTATTATGCTTTGGTATGCTATTTCCTAACCACTGGCAATAACTGGATTCAAGCTGATATCAAAGTTTCTCTCTGCAACCATCAGTTTTTCTAAAAGTCAACAAATTTCCTTTAAGCTCTAAAATCTACAAAGTTCCCAAAACTCTCTGGTATGAAACCGTATTCTATAAAAGGAGTTACATGAATCTAAGTATTTTTTACTCCAGGGTTTTACTTCAGGAAACCACACATCATTCTGTTCTTGTCTTCTTAGCTACTATCACACTAACTATTCCACCTAAGGATCCCAAATTCCCCCTTGAGGAATCCCTAGACCTAGGACCCCCATGATCTCTCTCTGTTTCAGTCTTTCCTGTGTTGCCGTCTTCCTCCCTCTCACAAGCCTCTGTTCATCAGGGTCTGTATGTTTTCTGGCCAGTGGAAACATAATGCCCTGGCCAACTGCCACTCCCAATACAGGAAGGGCCTGTAATGTAGGGAGGCAGAAATCCAGCCAGTGACCTAGGGCTCCTAAGGAGAGGTCATTCAAACTACAGCTTGCCAAATGTGGCCACTCGATCCCAAACAGTGGTGCATGCCTGGAGCTCCTTTGGCAACAGAAACAAACCACAGCTGAAGTCCTCAGAAATAAAAGCAAGTTCAAACTTGGTGCTAGAGAGAGAAACCAGGCACATAGGCCTTAGAGCCATGTTAAACAATTCATGGTCATCAAAGTACCTTTTATCCATGCCCCTAAACAAACAAACTGCTGTGGCATATATGGGGGGAGGTGGGAAAACAACTTTAGGCTGGATTAATAAACAGCTTCTGGAAAGCCATAAGGAAGGTAACTCTCCTCAGATAAAAACCAATTTCATGTCCTAGAGAAAGGTGCCTTTAGTTTCACCCAAGCCCTGGCCCTTGCCCATTGATAACTCTCAAGATGAGAAAACTCCAGGTCTTCTGAAATCTTGGCAACCTACACTCTTTGCCAATGGATGGCAACTCCTATTACTGACCTTCTGGTGCCCAGAAGTCATGCCACAGCTATGGGTCATTTATAGTTTACATTTCAGTTCCCTTCTCTGCTGCGCTGTCCTCATTTTCATTGGCACAAAACATGCCATGCATTTGCTTTTTTCCCCCCATATGCCATTTCAAATGCCCCCCTTCTACAAAACAAAACAAAACTCTTTTTTTTTTCCCCTCTAAAAAGTTTCAGAGCCGTTAAAACTCTGGGTAGATTTGGAATGGCAGAGAATGATATGTTTGCAGCTGGACTGGATCCATTTTTCCCCATGGGCTATAACAAAGGTTTCATTTTAAATCCTGACACTGTGCAGTACTCTTTCTGGTCAGAGGTGGGGAGGGGGGCTAGCACTTCTCATTAAGAGAATAGCAGAATTCACTCTCCTTGAAAAGCAGCCACATTGGGCAGGTTTCAGAGCCATGTGTCTCCGTGTTGAAAGGCAGTAGAGAGTCAGCCCAGAACGACAGGACAGCGTGTCATGAGGGACAGCCTCGCTTCGATGCTATGTCTGAGGAAGCCTCTTCTCTGAAGTGGGAATTGAAACAGATCTATTAACACTTTCTGGGTCAGACTAAAGCCTTGAATGAGCATCAGGTCAAATGTCCACATTTCTTCTTAAAAAATCCTCTTTTCGCCTTTCAACCAATTCAACAAGATTAAAACAAAAGGAAAAAAAGAATGCAGAAGAATCTAAGTTTGAATAATTTCAAATGTGTAATGTGAGGGAACGTGGATCTATTCAAACAAAATCAGCATTGTTAAACAAAAACTGAGGGAAGCACAGACAAAAAAGTCCTCAGGGTTCATTAGTAAGATTTCTGGATTCCCAGTTTTGTTACAAAAATGCTGTCTGATTCTGGCCTCAAACTACCTGTAAGAGTTTTAAGTCTTTCTGTTTGAGAAATAATCTTTCCTCCAACCCATATTAAAAGCAGAAAATTTACTTACCTATGAACACATAGGTAAGTATATAAATGCAGTAAAAGGCCTGGAAGAATACATAACCTGATGTCTAGTATTATTTCTTTGGAGGTCACAGGGGTTGGGAGAGTTAAAAGAAAATTTAGCCTTAGTTTTAATGCTCTACTTTTATAAGGATTTCTGTATATTACTTATGTAGTAATTGTAAAATTTTAGCCAAGAAAAAAAAAAAAACAGAACTAGCAGTAGCAAGAGTAGGAGGAGAAGTAACAAAGAAAATGTTTTAAAAGATGGTCATTTATAATAACAAAAATTAGAAACAATCTAAAATGCCCAACAACAAATGATTAAGATAGCACATCCATACAACTGAATACTATTTTTTAAAACTGTATTATGTTTTCTAATCATGTGAAAATTCTAAATATGTTAAATGAAAATGGTTTCAAAGCAATTCAATATGATCTCTCATACATATTTGTCAAAAAAAAGTATATGATATAGGGAAAAAAACAGAAAAAATATACACCAAACATTACTGGTGGATAGTTAGCTCCAGGTAGTAGGAATACAGGTCAATCTTTTATTTCTTCTTCTTTGATGAGTTTTCCAAATAT